TACGGATCTCCAATAAGTCTGTCGAATTACATTGCGCTCCATTGAGCCATGAGTAAAGAGCCTTAGGATGAGGAGGTCTCATACCTTACAAATAATAAACAAAGTCTCAAAAGTGAATACAATAATATACAGAATCAAAAAAGAGCGAATGTAGCTCGCTATGTAGCATAACAGAACATTTTGTTTAGATACTTTAGTAAATTCCTAGTTTCTGTGAAATAAGTTGATTATTAATTTATTCATTTAAAATATATTTTTATTACTTTGATAACAATTAAATCAGTACAAATGTTCTAATAAACATCCCTTTTGAAATTCAATATTAAATAAATAATCATTACATTACTAAAAATTGTTTTATGAAGTTTCTAAGTCCAATTTTACCGTCACAATTTCTTATTTTTTTGGAATCTGTAATAATAATTTGCTATGACCTCATACGCCATTATCCACTAATTAAAAGACTTCATGGTAAACATAGTTTTTATATTTACAATGTTGTTGTTTTTATCTTAATCGTGAAAAAACGTATTGAAACCACTACAAGATTCACTTGGACAAACATAAACGCACCACTTTTCACCGATTTAACTCTTGGAATGCATAAAAAACTACTGAAAATAAAATATAAATTACTAGTCACCGCCATGACACTTACAAATAGAAAGTAAGTGAACAAATAACCTTGATAATAATTAGTATTATACTTTTATATTAATAATTTAATATTAAGGAAATTAATGTGTTTAGATAATAACTTAAAATTAAAAAAAAGTGACTTTAAAAATTCAAATGTTTCCACTAAGGTTGTTTTAGTTTAAATTTTAACGAACGACATGTTTTTATAATTGCAAGCAAGATGAAAGAACGAGATACACGGCCTCCGTTGTGACTATCTTTCTCGGCCTGGATTAGCTTCTGTACAAAGAGCAATTAAAAGTATACTTTAGTCGATAGTGATAAAGTTCGTTTTTGTAATTACAATTTTACGGAGGTATAAGTCCTGTTATATCTACGAAGTCCTGGTTACGGCTGTTTATGTCACAAAAAACTCATATGAAAACAAAATTTATATGGTACTTCCAGTTGATCTAGAACTATGAAATTTGGCAAAGAAATTCGTTTTATACCTACAAGTTCAAGAAAAAAATTGATAACTATATAAAGTTCAAATGATGTGTCTTAAGATAGGGACCTTATCACGTTACAGGGACATTAATCACGTGAGCCTCGAAAGGGGGGAAATTGGTGTTCGTCAATCATGAAATATCACAAAAATGGAAGGGGGTTGTAGTAATATATCACGTGTGTAGAGCCCCAACAGTGGGTACATTTATAGCACAGTAGAGTAGTGATAATTGCAAATATTCTTTATTGTTTTATTCATTAGTCTTAAATAAAAATTTGCGTAGGTGCGTTTAGTGTCAACGACCGGTCGGGCCGACCTTGCCTTGCCTTGACCGCATCCGACCTCGATTCTACAGAAATCCTGTGATCGAAACATATGTTCCAGAATATACGTAATTGTTTACATAACTAAGCAGATATGTCTCTATAATAATTGAATGTTTAACAAAATCTTATTATTTTAATGATAAATAAGTATTTTAAAACATTATTTTTATAACTTTTAGTTTTCTATTTTTTTCCTAATATTGAAACAAAAGGGAAATTAAATTGGTATACCAACCTAATTCATACATTAAATTTCTTATTGGAATAGTTATCGAAAGCAATAAGATTATCTAAGAAAGATATGATCCTGTATCACTAAGGTTTTACCCACTTATTTGGTTTATTTCTTTCAATTAGATTCGATTTCTAGATGACTAGACTAGATAAGAATTGATTAGAAAACATAAATATAAGTAAATGTGAATTAAATCTGGCTTGCTCACGAAAGTAAATGTCAGTATTTGCAATTGATATTGAATTCTGTCCTCAATGTATTACGATTTAAATCAAATGGAGAAATTTGAAAGATCTGTATAACCTGACGTGTTGTCAACTGTACGTAAACGAACACGTCACTTTTAAATAGAAAACAGAATACTAACGCCATCTACTAGCAGTAGAAAGTAAACCCAGACTCCAAAAATGAAAGTTAAATAACCAAAATGCATGATTAAATTCATTTGTAGTAATTGTAAAATTTGGTTTTAAGATTATAATTTATTTATTATTTAAAATCTTATAAAATTTGATAATTGTAATTAACAAAAAATACAACTATTACACTGGCACCATCTGTAGACTAACAAAAGTATTCTATGAATTTCTATGAATCGTCATAATTTTACGATTCATAGAAATAATGAATGTCTGTTTGAAAAAAAATGTTACACAATATTTTGTATTATTTATTACGTAACCAATTTAGTTGTCGTCGTGTTATCAGAGTCCTAATGTTTTTCATAACGTAGTTCATCATCACTAGACAGTCGTCGTCATACAAATTGGTTTTGCCACTCGCCGGTAGATGGCACTAAGGTAAAGCGCCATCTACTAATGAGAGTAAAAACTGTTTGCTTGAATCGCGGTGTATTTTTGGTATTTTTCAACAGATGGCGCTAAAGTCGCGTTTTCTCTTAACTTTAGTTGTGGTCGCTAGATGGCAGACGATGTCACCAACACAGTGTAAATAGGAATAGATTTTACTTGAAAGCTCTATTTTTTTTAACTGCATATTTCATTTTTTTTTAGAGACGTGTATAACATGAATAACGTGACCATTTTTTCTGCGGCTAATAACGGAGGGGAGAATGGTGGGATCACAGACCAAATAAAGTCAAGTCTTTATTTTTTAATATTCTATGATGGCGAGCGTATTATGGTACCTATATGGGATTATTCCACAATTCAGCCTTTCATACGAAGTTCGAAGGGATATTATCATCATCCATAGGTCACTAACTGACTGACTTGAAGTTCTTCTTTTCGTTGTAAGCTTAGTTAGGTTGTAATCTACTAGAATATGAAATTATAATCGTCATTATTATTATTGATGAGGTCTATGCCTTCGTCATCGATGAAGCTGAAGCGAAAAGCAGGAATGAGTCCATGACCCATCAGGCGGGCTCAACCGGATGGGTGGGTGTTAAGGACTGCAGATGCAGCCGTTACCAACCGCTTTACGTGCCTTCCGAAGCATGGACCTCGAGATAATAAATTTTTGGTCACCCATCCTATGACCGGCCCTACCGAAGGTTGCATATCAACCGTATTATAGAACGACAGTGCTAACCGCGGTCAGCACCTCTAAAAACTATAGTTCGTTTAAACTTATGTTATTTTTGTAACGACAGCAAAAAACTTTGATATTAATTGATGTAAAACAGAGATCTTCCATTCGATAAAGGCATCATTACAATCTCTACTCGAGACGCCATGTTTTGCGGTCCGATGGCGCGCCGAGATATCGAGGGAGCTATCGCCATTTTGGAATTATTCGAAATTGGAATTTGGTTCTGTTTTTTGTTTAAAAATACTCTAGGAGTTAACATAACATCTAAGGGCATAGACCTTCAGATGTCATGTTAATTGGTACTACTTTTATGTAATAATCGATGAAGATAAAACTACTGTCGCTCGCTATTGTAGACAATGAGATAGATGATGAGAGAGATAGAGAGAGAGAGAAGATAAAATAATATTTTTTATCTATCTTTCGATAAACCATTACCATTATTGTAAGACCAATAAATAAATCATAGATATCCATATTCTATGTCGTTGAGGGGTGCGACAATTTAAGAGCCCTGTTACTTTGCACTTTGTGAGATTAGGTATTTGAAGCTTCTCGACCACGTGTACGATCACGAGTTCACAATACCATAGTACTATAGAATAGTATGCCGACTCGAGCCCAGAATGAGCGATAATAGCCTAATCACGTAGGGTTGTCACGGATTCGGTGCTAGTTGTCGGTTGGAAAATGAAACGGCTGACAAGGCTTGATAAGTTGATATATTTATAGTGTAAATAAATAATAAAAAAAAAACACTAACAAACAAAGAAGAATATATGATTTGTACCTTCAAGTAAAAATTCTTACGAGCGGCCACGCAGCAAAGGACTGTGCGCGGCCACGACTGGCGCTACTAGTTGCTAGGGATACAATGATATATCGGAAAACCGCTATATATCGATATATGGACGCTCTAAAATATCGATATCGAATGTAATATTAACAATCAACGGCATTTTCACATGTGATATGACTAATTTATTGATTATTTTGTAACCCTGATTTTTTTTTTGCTTTGAAATTTGTGATCGTTTTAATTATTATTATTTGTACTTAGATCATTAATTTTAAATAATTAAGTTTAAACTTTCTAACTTGAGATTACTAGTAAGCGAACAACTGCCAATCACATATCACGAGATAACAAAGAAATCGCACAATTCAAGCTGCAACAGCTTATATACACTAGTTTATACATTAACACATTCATTTCCACTGAAAACAGCTTAAAACCATCATTAATAATAACATTTTTCATTCAAAATCGCAATTTTGACAAATAATTACGTGCTAAGATATTGCTTCTCAGGTAATTCCGGTAATTGTTGTACACATGGCCGCACGTCACAATATACACCACTAGTGTAAGCAGACCTTTGTTATTGGGGAAGTTCTCTATGAAGCGCGGTCGGTACAAAGTCCACAATCTATAGTCTGATGTGCAACCGTGTGTACATAATTCCATACAAATTTCTAAGCACACGTGTTTTTATAAAACTAAGAACGGTAGCGCCATTGGCGAGCGCCACAGGCTTACAAAGTATCAATGTAGCTCAAAACTAATATATTTTCTAAACTTGGGTATGTTATAATTTTTTATATTTTCCCGCGCACTATCCATAAATGAAAATCTTTTAAACGGTTTCAACACGACAAGCACTAGCTTTCAAATAAAGAAAGAATCATTATAATCGATCCACCCAGTAAAAACGTATGAGGTTTTTAATTAGGAACTTATTTTTATTGTTCCCAGGACATGGATCTCATCGAGGTGTTGTGGAAGCAGGATGTCGACATGGGATTCTCTCGCGAAGATCCGATTCAGATGGTAAGTTATTATTATACCTAAGTAACAAAAATTACTCTCATCGCAGTCGGGGGACCTTTGAGATACATTTTTAGTTTAAGGTACCCAGACTGTAAAAAGAATTTTGTTAAGCCAAGCTTCTTTTTATATTTTTAGAGTAATTTTTTGGGTCGGAGTTGTTTTAAAATAATATTTGGAGTTTTCTATTCCATATTTTTTAAATTTCTGGTACTAAGAATATATATCTTTGAATAATTTTGATAAAAGAGGCTACAGATATAAGAAAAAACTATTCAAACCGGCCTTTTCGTTTAAAAGCATGCTGTAAGTACTATAAGAAGAAGAATTATAAAGAGTTAGTTTCTTTGTTCGTATGAGGTAGTCTTCGATAATACTGAACTTATCATGAAAATTCTTTCCTAGAGTAGGAACCAGAAAACATCTAGTTAATGTGATTGATAATTTGTCCTTCCGTAGGAGGGTCCCCAGGCCACGAAGGTGACTTCGGGTGACGATTTGGAGAAGAACGAGACGCTTTCTTATACGATCCAGAAGAAGAAGGAGGAAGCTCAGAACATTGAGAAGGTGAAGGCGTCCCTGCTGAATACGGAAGACAAAGAGGTAGGTTTTCTACATTAATTAGAATAGCTTTTTCCAAAGTTAGTCTTGAGGCTGTCACATACACTCAGAATTTGGATTCGGAATTCCTTAAGTACCTCACATATATACGTTTAGTTTAGTAGATGGCAACATTAGCATGTAATAAATAAACGAAACTTTTTTGAACATTTTGTCTTTTAAAAATAAATAGTTCCTTCCTTCTTACATTTATATATTTAAACTACACTCTTTCTAATTATAAATTCAAAAATTATTAATTTCCTACTATGCTCACTACGTTATTTCACTACTTTATGAATGAAATTTATAAAAAATATTTACTACATGTGCTGATGCTCTAGTCTGGCAACAGAAATTTGCTTTTGAGTTCAGACATTTTGTCAGCTAATATGGACTACAGTTTCCGGATTGTAACGGAACTGTTGTTATATCTCTACAAACCCATAGCCCCTAGAATACTTAGTACGTATTATTATGTTTTAGGTAAATAAATAATGATTGAACTGCGTTCGATATTTCGAATGGAATTTTCGGAATTCCGACTGTGTGTAGGGGCTTTTATTAAATTTCTTTGACTTTAGACATGGAGAGCAAGACTGCACAGTGTCTGTTTAAACCTCTGAAAGCCATAAAAATAGCGATTACAAGATGTCTTAATTACTACTAAACTTATTTATTTTATGACTTTAAGCATGGTACATGGACTTAATGCTAATAGCATTCGCAAACTTTGGAAAAAATTACAAAAGTGACTTATCCATTTCTCAATCAACGTGTTCGAAACCGCTCACACGCCGTATTCAAGGTTTTTCCATCTCTGACGTCCCGGGTTCGAATCCTGGTTGTGTAGTTATTTATTCATAATAAGTTTTGATAGATGTTTTTTCACAGGACGACCCATGGGCCGGACTCTCGTACACCGTCGATACGGAAACAGGTACGTACTTAATATTTAATTAGTTTTTAATTACAAAATTTTTGAGATATTTATTTATAAGATAAATAATGTAAAGGTTGTGCTGTAAGTCGGTAGTGTTCTTAAGAAGTAATAGTTGTGCAATTTGTACCTTAGTTATAACTTGATGATCACGTGATAACTTAGTTAATTCAATTCAAATAACTAAATTATCACGTGACTTAGTCTGCGTTAATTATAACCTATGTCACTTGCGTATTCACCGATACTTCCGCCACATTTGACTGATTTCTAAAATTATTCGACAGCTTAATGGACTGAGGTAGTCCCATAATCAGTAGTTTTCCCTTTTATAACTGAAAAATATACGTTTTTTCATCAGATATCACCTAAATATCAAGATGATATGTTTATATCAGCTATAAAAAAAAAAAAGATTGAGAACAAATTACAACAAGTTTTCATCTTTGTCGTAAGTTTAAATATTTGTAAAGATATTTCTTTTGCCTGTTTGGGTGGATTGCCTGAACATTGATTAGAATACGCTCTGTAGTAGAGAAAAGTAACGAGTGCTTGAAAGATTCGACAGTCCTGTTAAGTACCGGGTAGCTCTGGCTTCGAATGCCATCTGAGGGCGCCAGGGACCGATTGGATTTTAAAGCATTTTCCAGTATAGCATTGTAAATGCGAAATTGACCAATTATTATAAACTAGCTTTCCGCCAGCGGCTTCGTCCGCATGGTCTTGTATTATACATAAAAAGCTTCCTTTTGAATCGCCCTATCTATGAAAAAAAACCGCATCAAAATCCGTTGCGTAGTTTTAAATATTTAAGCATACATACGGATATAGGGACAGAGGAAGCGACTTTGTTTTATACTATGTAGTTAAGATTACGTATTTTTAATTCATTCAAAATTCGAAGCAAGATTTTCTATATTCAACGAGTATTTATATTTTTTTATGAAAGAATGTATGTTTACGATTCCTCGAAATCGGTTATATTTTTTTTTGAAAAAAAGTTTTTATTAACAAAAAAAGAAAAAAGTTTATATATTGCCTAACAGTTCCACCAAGCAGTATCAATTCCAGCATTGAACCAGAATTGGCGGGATCAATAGTCCCCTAGTTACATACTACTACTCCCCCTTATGTAATATTGTTAATATATTACGTTATATGAAGGGTGCATTTTAGGGTTACAACTCGAATACGACCTTAACAAATACATATTCGAATGCCATGGTTTTGTTATTTTTTTATTTGGTTATATTTTCGGCGGCATATTTTGCGTATTAATTTTTGTTGCCATTTTGAAAAATTAGTTTTTTAATAACATATTTGAAAGAACGCTGGCGTATAAGTCATTGGTATGAAATTCGTAACTTACTGCAATGACATACATATATATATATATAATATAATATAAGGCAAAACTGACTTTATATATCGACTCACAACCGAAACTACTGTAACTAGAAACTTGAAATTTGGTACAGAGGTTCCTTTCTTAATGTAAGTGAGTACTAAGAAAGGATTTTTGGTAACAGGAGGTGTGACGCTGGCGGAAAGCTAGTTACATCATATATTCAGAGCAATGCGTGTTTATGTTGATTTTTCAATATTAATTCATCTATATTAATATTATAGATAGGTTAGATCTCATTGTTTGTTTATTTGCGTTGTATAGAATAAAATAATAGACAGCTAGTTGCGCGAACATCCACTAAAATTGTCATTAGTATAAATCGACATTACTTATACAAAATTGACATTCATTAGAGCTTAATGGCGTCATTAAACCTTCATGGACGTGTGTGTAACTGACCGAGTTAGGCATAAAAACTCCTTGCGGTTAAAAATGAAATTGTAAATTGTACTTAATTATATTTTTTAAATATTTTTTTTAGTAGCTCGGTGGCGTAGTGGAGAAGCGCCGCGGCCCACGATCGTTGTCGTTAAGTAACTTTCGCAAGGGTCGGTCACGGGATGGGTGACCGAAAAATTATTATCTCGAGCTACTCCGTGCTTCGGAAGGCACGTTAAGCCGTTGGTCCCGGCTGCATTTGTAGTCGTTAATATCTTCCAATCCGCATTGGGCCAGCGTGGAGGGTCATGGCCCATCCTCCTTAACCATCCATAAGGAAGGCCTGAGCTCCTGCAGTGGGGACGTAAAAGGGCTGGTGATGATGATGATGAAATATTTTATTTATTATATCTTGTCATCCCTTAAGTCGCAGATTTGGTGTTGCCATTGTATGCGTTCGATACGAATCGATAAATTATATGTTTTTCTTGTACCTTATATATTTTCCGTTAAACCTTCGTCAGTATTGTATATAAATTTTCCTTTGATTTAAAAATGAAGGGGTCTAATAATGTAATTTCAAATTTACCGCTTTATATTTCAATATTATCTATTTGAAAGATATTCACGAATTTCTCGCTACAACTATTTGATTTGTGTAGATTGGCTATAAACAATAACCGCAACTATTAGACGATCAGTCAATATTGTGTACATATATACATTTGTAGTATTGTTTAAGACCCTACATTTTTGTCATTTAAACCTATATTTTGATGTTATTATAAGTTTTGTGAAACTAATGTAAAAGGTACCATGGGGTTGACATATCCATATGGATAAAAACCCCCAAAATAAAATTCAAGATATAAAAAAAAGAAACTATTTGATATGCTACAACGATTGCGTTTGCGACTTTTTTTTTAATATTAAATGGACGATATCTTTACAAGCGCTAAACGCAAATATTACTTTAAGTTCAATTTTTATTATGTTTGTTGATTATTCAAATAATCAATCGTTTTAAAAGCGAATGCGATTTATATAATAATTCCGTAAATCATAAACGCTATACATTTGAGAGGGATTTCGAAAGATTTTGAAATAATACGTTTAGACCGCAAGTCTTCCATGATTTCATGAAGTTTCGTTGATAGTGAATTGTGTTATACGATTTAGTTATATAGGATAGAATAATTTTAAACTATCAGTATTTATTTATTTTTATCAGAATGTTTTTTAACTATGAATATTATTATTAATACTGGACTATTGTAATTGCATTTCTTATATACGGAAGTTTGGGGGTCAAATTAGCTGCGTCATTTGACAAACGGTGCCTTGTACACGATAGGGGAACATGAACACTACCCGAATGTTGCCACTACTAAATAACAACTACAGATATAAACTCCTTTTTCGAATCGACAAAGGTTGACTATTTAAAAAAGAACTCGTAAAAAAATGTCTAGTGAAACATCGTCATAAAATTATTTAAGCTCGGTGGTGTAGTGGTAGCGCCGCGGCCTAAGATCATTGTTGTTAAGCAATTTCGCAAGGGTCGGTCACGGGATGGATTAAAAAATCTGCAGCCGGTGATACCTCCCAATCCGCATTGTGCCCGGAGGTTCATGGCTTATCATTCTTAACCATCCATAACCTCCTGCATTTAATATCGAAGTATGGTATGACGGGGTTAACATGTTTAAAAGGATAAAAACCACTTAAAATTAAATGATTTAAAAAAAGTTCCAAACTTGAAATTCGTACAATAAGAAATGACGATATAATATTCCCTTGTATACCATTATATACCGTATACCAATTCGCCCTTTTCGGTAAGTCGAAATTTAAAAGAATTTCGTCCATGGGACAGGCGAAGGAACTAATTCATACAGCCAAATCTTGGTTAACAATTTGAAATAAAAAATAACACTTTCTATAGTGAACTTTACTATATGCTGTGGAAACTTTGTTGTTTGAGATCACCATATTACAGAGAATCTGAGAAATGTGTGTCATGTTATCAAATATTTATATCAAAATTGTGTAATTTGAATAATCAGTCCCAATCTTATGGGACTGATTATTCAAATTTAAATTCAATCTTATTTAATAATGCGTATTAAATATCTACTCAAGAAAAATATAATATTGTTTTTATAATAGACACTCTTTGTTCTAACATATGATTTATGATGAGAAATAGATCCTTATGCCTCCAATATTATGCATTGAAAAAAACAAATCGTATGATCGAAACTCTGGAACAATAGGAAAGAAAAAAAATGTAATAATAAAAGTCGATTATCTCCGAAATTTTGTAAAGGACACGTTTTCGGGTCGAACAGAACGCGGCGTCTGCCCAATAATGAGCTCAAAAGTAGCCAACGTAACATGAGCCGATACCCCTCGCGCTGTCGAAAGAAAATTCATACTAAACAAACCCACCCAAGAGTTACCGCATAGCTCAACTCCCGCCGGTCGATCATACAAAGTGACAGCCGAGTTCGAATTTCAAAAAAAGAATCGTTTCTTTTTTCGTCGTCGACTTTTCCACAAGTCATCGTGGCGGGCTGTGTTCTCTGTGATTAATACTTTTTCGTTGGATTGTCTATGGTTTGGCTTTTTTTCTCTACAGAGAATCGGACATATTATGGATTTGTGAAATGTGTGTGCCGCTTTTGAAATATCTTTTGTTATTGTAAATGCTTTTATATTGGCTCAGAAATAACCTGAGTGCTTTTCAGAATATTATAACATGTCTGCGCTTCGTATTTATGATACATCTCTATCTTTATTGTTAAAATGTAATCGTTACGGACGGAAGATGAAATTTAAGTATTATATACTTTTCCTTCTTTTGTTACGAGGTCGTTTACATCAACAATTACTAAGTTTTAACTGGTTTTAGTATAAAAAGAACAACCAAATAAGCTGTAATTAAAACAAATGGAAAACGAAACGTAAAAATAATAGGGGGCGGATATTCTATGTAGTTTCTTCATATTAACCTGATTTCAATAAAATTCTCATGTAAATATGAACCTCGTTTAAGACGAGTTTTTTTTTTAATAGATTTCATTATAATAGTTTTTTACGCTCCATTTTGCGCATCCTCTGTTTCATTTACTGGCCTGCTGGTTCTATCTCCTTTTATCTTAATAATAGCTGTTTCCCGCGTGCCTACAGCCTGTCATCCGTGTATGATGTG